TTTTTAGGTTTAGGGTTTTTAGGCTTTAGGTGGTTCTATGGTTCTAATTTTTGAAAGGGCTTTAAGGGTTTTACGGTTTAGGGTTTTTAGGGTTTGGGGTTTTTAGGGTTTAGGTGGTTCTATGGTTTGTAATTTGTTTTTTGGAGATCTTTAAGGCTTTACGGTTTAGGGTTTTTAGGGTTTAGGGCTTTTAGGGTTTAGGGTTTTTAGAATTCAGGGTTTTTAGGGTTTAGAGTTTTAGGGTTTAGGTGGCTTTTTAGGGTTTAGGTGGTTTTTAGGTGTTTAGGGTTTTTAGGGTTTAGGGTTTTTAGGGTTTAGGGTTTTTAGGGTTTAGGCGGTTTTTAGGGGTTTAGGGTTGACGTTCGAGTCGCAGAACTCTGAAAATGCCCACTCGACACCTCTGGAACCCTTCTGGAAGGGGCCAGCGGACCGCACCCCACTGATGTTTGACGCAAAAAGGATGCCCACTCGACCCTAAAAAGGATGCCCACTCGACACTAAAGAGGATGCCCACTCGACCCCGCCCCCCAAGAACGGGGTCACTGACTCCCCAAGCTGAAAAGGGGAGAAAACCGTTCAGCACAGTCCTTTCAGGGACCCCCCTCCCCAATCACTTTGTCAGGAGATCAAGGGTCGGTGGGCGGGACAAACGAAATGCAAAAGCAAAGATGAAGACGTGGACGCATTCAGAACCTTAGTGGGCCCTACTGACTCCAAACGTCAATGACGATGGCTAGGAAGCATATCTTTCAGGAAGGTGATCATGTTGAGGCGCGTGATGGAACACAGTCACACACACCCTATGTTCTCCCAAACCCTGCCCACGGTCCCTGGATGCACACACTGTTTCATCACAGCATCAAGTCGAGGATCCTATGTCTGTAAGCCGAGCTCGGAAAGACACATTCCTGAAGATCCCAGCATTGGGATACTGCCCAGCTGTCCTAGGTGCCCAAGCGGCTTGATCCATCAGCGGCATTCGAGCGCGCGTCTATCCGCTCCCACCAGGCACGGCAGCTGATAGCGACGCCAGAGCTACTTCATGAACATTGTCCTCCCTAGAGGTTCCGGCCACCGCGGCAGAAACTGCAATAGCGTTATCCACGAACCAGATGACATCGGTGGATCTAAAGAGGGGCACATAAAGGAGCGGCACAGCCAATGCGGCCAAGGTCTCGCCCATGAAGATCTGCTGCGCATGAACCTTCCAGCCAGCAATGGCCTCGGGGGGGACAACGCACGTGCCCCCCCACAGGCCGCGAGAGCCTCTCAGAAAAGAGAACCACCCCAAGCGAAGCTTGTTGGCCTCGAAGGATGCATCGGTGCACACGGTCATCACAGCAGACTGCATGCGCACCAATGACCTGAATGTCTCCGGGGACGGACAACAGGCGCCTGGAGCGCCTGCCGTCATGGAGAACAGCCACTGTAAATCGCCCCTCAACTTACGTGCAACATCCCAATCCAGGTGCCCTGAGGCCAGGATCTCATCAAGCATGCCAAGAGTCTTACATTTGGTCAAAAGCTTCGGCTGAAAACGGACTTCGCCCGACAAAATTGCATCACCCACGTGAATGGATGCGCCCAACCATGTAGCGCCATTCGCCGCCGGCAAGAAACACTTCTCAGGCTGAGGAGGGCTCACGCAGGAACCCAAGGGAGGGTTCGTCATCAAAGTAAGCAGCACGCCACAACCGCCGCTTCAAGGCCGTACGCAGGGCCATACAACAATGTGAAGCGCCATCCTTTCAACACACTCAGGGGCATGCGCGCTGTCTGCACGGAGTGACCTCCATATGCATCGGGCAACACGTCTGTTGCCAGACGCGCCTGTAGCCAGGGTGTGTCGTCCAGTGAGACAGGGCCCTGCTCCTGCACTGCTTGTAGCGCGTCACGGACAGAGGAGGCCACAAAATCCGCAGACACATTGTGGATAGCCTCCTGCAACTGCACGTGTGCGTTGTGCTCAGTTTTTAGACAATTGTCAACCAATCTCAGTTTCCCACCCCCTTGGCGCAAGAGAAATCTTTCCATGGGTCGCCAGCACCCTTGACCAAACAAGGCGCCGACCATCAGGTCACTGCAAAACCCTTCTCACTTTCAGCAACAGGACTTCCTCAGCAAATTGTGGGGGAGGTGAGTGAATGAGGTCATGGACGGCTTGCTCCGCGTCCCGCAGAAGCCACGCCTCAACAGACTCGGGAAGGTTCTCGACGGGTCGAGGGACTAACTTAACAACCCTACGATTGGGAGCCCATGCGCAAAGCATGGCCAGCTACCTTCAGGGAACACTGGCAGCACAGCTTAGGTCCGGTCCTTGGCTCGAGATGAAACTGGGCACCCACACGCGCTGCCACGCCGGGAATGCTTGCGTCAGAGGCAGGTCACACACGGCCAAACGATGTTCGCATGAGCGCCACACCTTGCGGGGGAACATGGCACGTGTTGAGCTGAGACTGCAACGCGGCGGACCAAGTCGCTTGCACGACGAACAG